AGTGCTTTGAATGGGAGCGTCCTGGCGAGGAGTTGGTGGACATGACAGAAGGCGTTGCGGTCTCTATGCCTAAGGCCCGACACTTGCAGGCTAAATGTAAGCCTCGACCCATAGTTGATCGCCTACATCTTTCTCAAACAAAATCAAACCTGGCCTATTGACAATGTTTAATGAATGATGTAGGGGTCCGTCCATGTTAAGCTTTCTAACAGAACTAAACTAGTGTCATACTGCCTGCTATGCATATAGTTTATAGAGTAACACCAGTTTATAACTGTTGCAGTAGTTTATATTTTGTTCGTTGAACTTAAGTTAATTTCAATAACGTGGAAATACTATGGTTTTATCCATATATTACCACGCTTGTCTAAACTTTCTATTTTTTTTTTTTTTACCTTTTTTTAAATATGAATTAATAATGGAGGAACAGAAAAATAATCGAATGGTCACTTGAGGATATCTTCATTCTCGACTCCATTGAAGTTTTCCGACCTTTCTCTTGCTATATTACCTTTTCCTTATTGAAGATTATTGGGAGTGAGTCCCACATTGGTTAATTTAGTGGAATGTCATGGGTTCATAAGTAAATAATAGCCCAAAGCAAAGCTGTGAGAGCTTATGCTTAAAATGGACAATATCATACTATTGTAGAGAGTATTTTTGTTGTATTTTTTTTTTATCAACAACACTGTGACAGTTTTATCCAATACTTTGTCCAACCCCTGTCATATATTCCCAAAACTAAGAGCTAGAATGCAAACTTAGACCAACTGTCTCTCATATACCAAATCTATCCTAGCCCATTAGCCCATGGATAGAAAAAATATGGTCCAATCTCCGTTATTTTATCTAGAATCGTCGCCCGGGTCATTGGATTGCCATGTGTCACAACCTTATTAAAAAGTAAGTAGGTTGTGACTCTCATATATGATGACAAATGAGAGGTGACGTGTAAGTGGTGTCTATCAACCCATATGAGCTTTGAAAAAGGCAAATATCATGATGCGATCAGGGAGCACGATGCATCGTCCACACACTAAGAAGAGTGTGTATAATTGGCAAACTAAGGTATAAACAAGATTAGAAGCGACGATATAGGACTTCAAGCCATAACTTCAAAAGTCAGGATTTTGAAGTTCTTTTTGATAAGCGACTATGGAGTTAAGTTCATGCAAGTAAAATATGAAACTCGTCAAATTTGGTGTCGATTAGACACCAAAAGAATGCTCCACAAGGCCGTATGATTCCTGGCAAATACATCTATTTTTAGGAGACGTAAAATGCCTTGAATGTACTATAAAAGGAGGTATTGGTGTGACAACCCTCTTAGGTCTTGTGGCCTAAGAAAACTATCAAATAGTACAGACGTGTGTCATGGTATGGGCGAACATCGTAAAACGAGTGTCTTTGATGAGTTTTCTTATGATGAGTTTTTGAGAACATTGTCACTTGGCACAAGTATGTCGAAAGTGCATCCAGCCCCTTTAGTTGGAGGTTGATATATAGGGTTGAGCTCCAACATGATATGCACAAATGACTCGACATGGACATAATATGGTTTATGCTTCGATAATCCTCAAATGAATGGATGTCTGAGATGTCTCAATTACAAAGTTGACTTGGGAGTCGATATTTGATAAGCATGAAAGCCGATGACATCTCAAGACTCAGATAACATCATGAAGTATTGGTGAGATTTAAGCAATACATTTGGATACCGGATGAGCTCTAGTTTACATCAATATGTACCCAGAAACCTTATGATGACTCAATGTAGTGTATAGGCCTATGACACCTTCAGTCAATTCTGATTCTGTCATCGTCGTCTTGTGTACTCGGTTGCAATTTGCCCGCCAAGTTCTTTCCCACAACTGTGGACTCGAGAGATTTCGATTATCAGCAGCGGTCCGTGATTCTTCCTCTCTGCATCTCGCCTACGAATCCCACTCATCAGCATGACTGGACCGTGGTCATCGTCTCACCTGCAGAACTTAGACAAGCCGCACTCATTTGATGCTCGAATGAGGCTCCACGACGACCTCCTTACCAACGGGTTCGCCTTTCAGAAATTTCCGTTTGTTTCTGTTCGTATGCTTTACACGACACGTCTATGGATTGGGACTCTTCCTCAAGAGTTTTCTCTTATTGTGGATACTGGAAGTACCGTGCTCTAACTGTGTGGAGCGAGGGAATCATCAGGTTTCTTTCGGTTCATTGCTGATCTGCGTTGTTTTTTCAGTTCTGCTCTCTATACCTAAACATCTGCAAGTCGTTTTGTGGGTTTGAATTTAGGCTTACAGATCCTGATACTGCTATATGAAAATTTTGTCTTTAAAACTGTGAACTGTCGAGGTAAGCATGGGGCCTAGAACTCGGCTTTGTGGATTCGCCGATGAAGGTAAACCAAAAGATCAGAGATCCCCCCTAAGATCACGGCTTCGTACGTGTTTTTCTTTGGAAAAGACTTCTGTTTATTGGCATACAGAGATAAAAACCAGTTAGGTCCTAGATGAAAAACTACCACGGATATGCTATGTGAGATCCCAACATTACTTGTAAGCGTGTGGAAACCTCTCCCTAAAAGACTCGTTTTAAAACCGTGAGGCTGACAGTGATACATAATGGGCTAAAGCGGACAATATCTGCTAGTAGTGGGCTTGATCTGATATAGGCCGGAGGTTGATCAAGGCCAATGTAAATAGAAAAGGACTTAGAGAGAACAAGTAAGTCACGGTGGTCATCTACCTGAAATTTAATACCCGAGTTACCTTCCCCCACCTCCAAATGTTGTTAACTCAAAAAAAAAAAAGAAAAATCTCAAGAGTTAGTGTAAATGTAATAGAGTTATCTCCACCTCTAAGAGAATGCTAGAGCCATTAGGTGTTGAATCTAGATTTCAAATCTTGGACATGGGTCGATACATTCATTTTATCGGGAAGTTGAATCTGAGCACTTTTGTTGGGAATTATGGTGCTGTCTTGGATATTGGAACTACATATGCTTATTTTCCAGAAAATGCGTACTATGCATTCAAGGATGCGGTAAGTTTTATCAACTCTACGTCTAATCTCAAATGGTCTTGCCTTCACCCAAAGCATTTCCATTTTGTGCTACTTATATTCCATTTGCTTAAAGGCACCTTTGTGCCTATCACAATATTCTTTCAGTGCTTCATGCTCTTTTCCTCGCAAACATATTTACTATCAGGGGCCTATCACATACAGCTCTTATTAAATATGTCTGTCACCAATATTATTCAGTATCTCATTCATTCTGCAATATGATATGGAATTTTGGAACACTTCAAAGCCATTGAAGCTATATAAATGCTTGTTGTGAAAGCTACTACAAAGGATATTTGGATCTTCAACGTGTAGCTCATATGGATCTGAGTGTTGGAGTTTATCAAGTCCCAATCTTTCATTCATATGTGTTGTTTGTCTCGTCTTTCACCATTCTGCATTGATTTGGGTATTTGCATTTCCTTTTTTCTTCCAAAGAAGACTTCTTCAATTAGTTTTTCATAATTATATTTTTCTGGTACAACTATCGTTGAATTCTTACATTATAGTCGGATTTAAACTTCTCCAATCAAGAAATCAGATTTGACCTTCAAATTTTGAAACATGTTTTTGAAACCTCTTCTGGTTATTACTACCAAATACAATATTTCTGCATTGATTTTTCTCATACAGATGGTTGTGTTCTTGTAGTTGATTTAGTAGATTTGACTCTTAGCTTATGCTATTGACTCCCAGTTTAGTGACTGTTTCATGCCGGAAAAATATGTAGGAGATGGTTTAGGATGCAAAGTAGGAAATGCTCTTTTTAACGGTTTCCCATAGGTGTTGCACAAGGGAGATATTATTGTCTTTTAACTAAAATTAAAAGTTTTTGTTTCGACTTTATACCTTTTCGTACTAAAATTCATCTCCTATTATGCTTCCCCGTTTTGTTCTAATCTCTTTATTACAAGATGTGCTGAATTCTAATTAACTTGTGCTTAATTTTCAGATAATAATGAAGAAAATTAGTTTCCTGAAACAAATTAATGGTCCTGATTTGAATTTTAAGTATATTTGTTTTTCTGGTACTGTAAGGTATTTCTATTTCTTGCTAGGGGCACTGATATCTTCAGCAGGTCACTTTTGGGTTGATTGTTGATCATGTTTTTTTTTTTTTTTTTTTTTTAGGGA